AAAAGAATAGAATAACACTTTATTCTTTGTAAAAAAGTACCTGAGGTGGAGAGAGAACAAAATGTAGATTAATCATAAAACAAGACGTTTTCCTTTCTCTTCAACTTAGCAACAAATTTAATTAGAAAGAATTGACTTGAAATGTTGAAAACGAGACCAAATAGGGGGAAAAACAGTGACAAGGTGATTGATTACCTCTAAGTCTACCTGACACAGAAATTAGAGTTTTTTAATGATAGGCTGCTTCTTTCCAGGTGTAAAATTCAAATGCTCCCTCCAGACTGTCTGAGAGCCGTCACACGTTCTGCGAGGCTGAACGGCTCCAGAACAGGCACTCTGTCTCTGTCACAGAACAGTGGGACATCCACACCTGACGGACTGATCCCATCTCACCTCGCTCAGGTTTCTGCATCAAAGATCAGAGAATCACATACTGCTCATGATGTTCTAGAACTCTCACATCCACAGCTTGGAACCAGTCGAGTTGCTGGATTGTGATGTTGGGAGCAGCATTTGTTTTTTTGTGAATTTGCTCAGAAGACATTTGAGATGGGACAGTAATACCTCTAATTTTGGATATATTATTGATAAATGATGGTAAAATTGTTAACACTTTACAATAGGGTCTCATTTGTTAACATTAGTTAACGCATTAGTGTACATTTTACAGCTTTTTAAAAATCTTTGTCGATGTTATTAAATAAATAAAATTGTTCATTTTCACAGTACATTAATGCTAACAGATACAATGTTTGATTTAAATTAAACTTAAGTAAATGTTGTAGACATACTGTTAATTGTTAGTTCATCTTAAGTAATATTAACAAAAAATGAAACCTTTTTGTAATGTGTTCCCATAAAATATTGCTCTTCTACAAGTGGCTCAAGGTAGCCATAGCAAATATAGGTAGAAATCGTTTTCCCCCATTTTTCTCATAATTGTAACACATTTTGGGACTGTAAATAGGAATAAAAAATAATAATAATCTATTTAAAAAATATCTATTAGAAAATCACATTTGATATTTCATCCAGCTCATTCTGAAAATGGAAAAAATAATAATGCAATGCATTATGGGATATAATATTCACAGTAGTTCTGGTTGTATGCTGTAAGAAAAAAATCTGTTAAAAAACAGATAATGTCCTGGCAGAAAATTACCAGTACATTTTCCATAAAATTCACGGACATTTCCTTCAACCATAATGCATAATTCAAAATAGGGGTAAAAAAAAATCAATACAGAAAAGTCCCTCATAACACAGTGCTGGGACATATTTTTACTGACTTTTGAGTGCACATGCAGACAATTTTATGCTGCTTATACATGCTGCATTCTGCAGAAATAGTCCGGATGGTTATCATGGAGGCTTTTGTGAATATAGTATTTGTGTGTCGCTTCATGCTCCCCACAGTTCTCTGACTGACTGCCGCAACCGCAAGATTGACCTGTGCAATCAAAGATAAACCATCTACAGCAGTGTGCATTTGTTCAGTTTGACACTAGAGGGTGCTGTGACTTTTTGTATTTTCAAACAAACCTGATTCAAGTGGAATACCATGATGTTTGGGATATTTGTTAATAAAATATTAGTAAAATGTGTTAGTAATATTAGCTTACTGTACTGATACAGTTTCTCAAAACTTCACTGAAAAATTAAAGATGGAAAATTTGGAAAAGAACACACTGTGACCTAGGGCTGCACAATTAATCGAATTTCTAATCGCGATTACAAATATGGATGCCACAATTACATAATCGTTCAAAGGTGCAATTAATCGTTTAAAGTCCACTTATGTTATTCTGCATGCTTAAGATGTGTTTTTTTTTCTTGCTACAGGTTATCTGAAGGGTTTTTCCATTGTTTTAATTTTAGTTTTAGTATAACATTATAATATCATGCTTATTTTTACTTTTTTATTTAACGAAGAAACCAATCCAATGTATAGTTGACATTTGAGGCTTAATACTATAGAAAAGCAATAAAAGTTTTTCAGTTAGTGTTTTCAGCTTCTTTATTTTCATATAAAAATATGGCATGCAGTTGCTTCGAACAATGGTATAAACATCATTCAGTGTAGATTGTGATAATCGCAAGTAATAATCGCAATTAGAATTTCAAGGGAATAATCGACAATTATGATTTTTGTCACAATCGTGCAGCCCTACTGTGACCCATTTTTTTCAACCCACCAGTTGAGAATCTTTGTTGTATTACAGTGCGGGAATGAATTTCAGTTTGTTCAGTTTCTGAATCATTAAAAAAAAAAAGATAAAACAGTGCTGCACACTTGTGTTCAGCTCTCTCTCTCTCTCTCTCTCTCTCTCTCTCTCTCTCTCCATGTCCAAAATGCATAATACATATGTTTAGATTCTTTTAAAGTTTTTTTGTACTCATTTTTATTTTTTAATGAATTATTTTTATTGTATTTTAATTGTGGGGTTTATCAGTGAAGTTTTTTTTTTGCCAATGTAGAAATCATCGTCTTACAGACAACTTCAAT